AACACGTCCACTGCCGACCAATTTACGCGAATCAAATATCAGTGGATGACACCACTAGAATTCTCAGGCAGACACTGCAGCATCAACTAGCCTATTGCCGTCCCAAACATCCATACACATAGTAAAAGTAATCATCAAACCGGTTCAGCAAATCCAATAGTCGAATAATCTGCCCAACAGGTCAGATCTTTTCGTCATGACCAAGTAATCAACTCACACCACATAACACATCTCAACAGCGGAACGTTACGAACAACTCAGTGCAAAACTCGTCTCACCTTCATTGAAATAAAGTCAGAAGGCCCTGAAGCACACGGACACTGCCATGAAATATAAAGCACTCAAACATCAGTGAGCCACAGCACCGGAATTCTCAGCCAGATACTGCGTAATCAGCACATCTATCGACATCACAAACATTAATCTACACCTGAAAAGTAAACAGGTTCCTCAATTCACACAAACGAACACACTTCAAATGAGGTCATGTCCTACCACCATGACCAAGCATTCACCTCAAAAACTACAGACAACTTATAACTCGCACATACACACACACACACACACAACCATCACACAGATCAACGCCAACCCCCTTCACATCTCATCTCCCTTAAACAACAGTCACCACACCTCGTAGAACACGTTCATCACGCCGACCAATTCACACGAATCAAATATCAGTGAATCACGCCACCAGAATTCTCAGCTAGATATTGCCGCATCAATACATATGCCTCTATAATGCATATCCGTCTACACCTGGAAGTTACACATCTATGAAAAATGAATACTCCTCACATAAGGTCATATTCTACCATTATGACAAATCACTCACCTCCAAAACATCTCAAGTGCAATATACCAACAACATTCATCAAAATGACCTACCTCAACATAGCTCCTCTCATTTATTTCAAAAAAGTCAAGACACCCTGCAGAGTATGTCAACTCCCAACTAATTCAGACCAAACAAATAATAGTCAGTCATACAATCTGCATTTGCAGTCACCAGTTTCAAAATCAATACGCTAATCGCCATTCCGTACATAATTCTGAACCTGCGAATTATTCTCCACACAGCCTCTTTATCACTAACAAACGAATTTTCTTCATATCAGGTCACATCCTACCGTCATCAAAATGCACACCCTTCCCATCCCGTATTTATCTCTCTGATAACACACAATTATATCACGGATAAACCTAAAGAATATACGAATCCTACTTCCTCAAATGAGTCATAATACCCTGAAAAATAAATACACTGCCACTCAACTCACAGTAACCAAGTGTCACTGGATCACACTACTAGAGTTCTCACCCAGACATTACCGCACCAATCGACATCCTACATATACATCTACATCTGAATTACACTCATCCACCACGTTCTCAAATCCAGAAGAATACTCTTAATATCCTGATATAGCATTCGCCTCCTAGATATCATCACACGCTCAACAGCCCAACTTACACAATCAATACTTGTTACCACATCATTACATTTGTTGTCCGTTCTCCGACAATCAGTAATCACAAGGCCTGGTAGAATACTTTCCCTGCTAACCAATTCATACCAAACAAAGTTCACGTGGTGCTGCTGTTTGCATGGAAGGTAAATAGTGAAATCGAATAACCGGCGCTTATCATCGAATTATTGTATGTTGACTGTGCACCTAAAGTAGTTTGAATATTCTGATTCCAAACCAATAGTCCACGTGTGCCCCAGGTTCCAGATAGAACGAATGGAATACCAACCTATTTCTGTCAAGCATGGTAATACAGCTCCCTATTTAGCTTCGCTGCCTTGTGAAGTATACTTTAAGTCAAAGGCTTAGGAAGGGGTACTCTAAGACAATAGTTTGCTACGGTTTAAGTGCCCAGGGCTGTTTACCAGCCCCTACACAAAATGTGAATTTATAGTGTAGAATGAAGATTTCGAAGCGAATGCCCAAGCTCTAGGCACTACGAACTTTATAACCGACTACTCTATTTATTGTTTTGACACGTGAACTGTATTTCTTTTATTATTACCATTTTCGCTTTTGTCTTCATCTTCACTTCATTCAGCTGCTCTCCACTGCTTAGACTTCTGGTTTTCCTGTACCGTTTTGAGTCGCTCAGTGGTTAGCCTCAAAAGATATCCTCCAGCACGACGTCTGACACATATCCCGCGAGTACCGTTTAAGCTCGCCACCGTCAACTTCACACCTTGATGCAGATCGGGCAACAGGCAGGTATGGCTTGGAAAGCCTCGGTACTAATGTACGCTGCATTTGAGATCTACAAATAAGATCCCAGCGAAGTTCTTTGAATAAGTTCCCAGTCTGTCAGCTCAAAAAGTATGTTTTAAGAGTGCCTATCCCGGGACATCGGCAACCGTGTGACACTAAGCTCTCGAGCCAAAGCTGCACTATTCGACTGGATTCATATCAACAGTTGTTTGTTTGCCGTTAGGCTAGAAGGTTCATCTCGAGTAATAAGTAACTGGCAGTAGGAACGATGGCTTTGTCATCTCTCCGTCGGACTGCAGCCCGAATGAATTCTATCACCAACTGAGTGACCTTAACCAAGTGCATTTCACGGATAACGTAGTGCTGGATGGGGAATTGGATGCGCAGGTCGGGCGTCTAGGCTCATAGTAGAATCGTTCAGATGTCCTATGGGACTAGTTGACCGCAGGTCGGATAATGGGAATCGTCTTCTGCAGCTTTGCATAGATCACAACCTACTTCTAGCCAGTACCAACTTCCTGTACAGCCATCGCCATTGTACTACTTCGCGTCCTCCCTGTGCCACTCAAGCCTGGACTCAAATAGATCATATTGCAATCGGCTACCGGTGACATGGGTGCATACAGCACAGCCATTCCGTATGGGATACTCATCTGGACTCTGATCATGCTTTTGTGTGCTAAAGTCGCCTTGTATTTTGGTGATCATCAAAACTGTTGGCCAAAACAGGTTAGTGCAAGCAAATTAGTTGCACTTACCACTACTAGATTTAAGGCTAGCTACTTCTTCATCTAGATCTTCTAGAAAGTGTAGACGAGAATTAGCTGCACCTCCAAGACGCCATGAAAATGTCGAATAAAGTCGCTTGCAGCTTGGAAGAACGCCCCGAAAATAAACACTGGGTCTCTGCAACTTCTTGACGCCCATCGGAAAGCGAGTACAATGGTTTGCGCAAGTTTCTTAGGCAAAAGACTACACAATGCTTACGCAAGGACCATGAAGTTTGGTGGTAAGAACGCGCTAGTGAGACAGAAGTAACAGTTGCATCTGGCAATATTCGGAAGATGATCCAGCTCATCCATGACACTGGCATATCGTGTTACTGTGCAGTAACATATAAGCTACTCAAATCAAACTTAATCAGTTGACGACTAGTTTCCGTAAGTATGGTATGTGTTTTGCATCATGGAAGTGAAAAGTACCTTTGCAAGGTTGGCAGAAGCCTGTATTTGTGTTCACCCTTGGTGATGAACCGTCGGAAGTAGTCGAAAAGATCGTGTATCTGGGTAGTCCTGTGGTGAAATTTCTAACCGTATATCGAAAACCAGAGTGACGTACGCCAATCTGGGCCACTTTTGGCGCCGTTTGTCTGACCGTAAAAGGTCAAGTTTACAACGCTTCGGTGTGAGCAGTTCTGCCCTATGTCTATAAAACCTGGTCTGAGGATGTGCGATAACTTTGCGTTCGACCACAGTTGTCTGTGTAGGAATGTTCTTATCCAGTGGCAACACATGTAAGTAATGCTGAAGTAGGGCGTGTTTGGGCATGATGGAGATCATCACTCAATAAGTGAACACTGGCTTCGGTAGCTTGGATATGTGTTACGCATGTCGTCCCAACAGCTTCCATACTGTTCATTGTTTGCTAGCTCTAGTACAGGATGGAAGAAGCGGAGGCATGGTCAGTGTATGATGCGGGACAGAGTATAGCTGTATCAGGTTGGCATATGTTGGTGAATCATGACCCCGGGTGGGGTCAAGCAACTCAGTGGCTTGAGATGTTATCACATATGGCTCAGAATCGAAACCAGTTACGGTCATGCTGTAGATTCCTTCCTCCTACTGCTGCTGAAAGTAATCAATGTTTCGTTTTGAATGCATCTTACTGGACTGCCATGCTAATCATTCTTTTCTCATCGTTTTTCAATTTATCCAGTTCCCTTCGCCTTGTGTCTTCAAAATAGCATTTTATTATTTTGTATGGCGCATTTCCTGGTGCTCTTGCTGTACCATGTTTGTTTACTAATATTAATAATAATATCACTAGAATTCACAGACACCCATTTCAGCATCAATACACCTATCGCCATCTCATAAAAACATCTACACCTGAAATATACTCAACAACCAGGTTTCTCAAATCTAAGAAACAAATACTCCTCACAATATGTCACATCCTTTCATCGTGACAAAGGATTCACCCACAACACTACATCCCACTTACAATAGCCTAATAACACTAGCTTCGACGGAATCACCGCATAGTTGGACATGAACACAGTGCTCATCCGACGTAACCATACCTCATAATATCAAACAAGTCACAGCATTATTCTAGTACGATCCAGTTTACATGAAACAAATATCAGTAGGCCACAGCAACAAACTCTCAGACACTGATTCCGAAATCAGTACGTTGATCACCATGGAATATGAAATTGCTATGAAGTTATATTTTTGTTCTTTTCAGGCTATATGCTGGTAACTCTCACTTTTATATGAATGTGGTGAAAATAAAATGACACATCATTTTGAAACGATTTCTTAATGTTCTTGTTCTCACATTCTACGTTACTTAGCATCCGTGGATGTGTTAAGGACAGTTTAACTGTGTTTCAGGGTTATTTACGGGAAGCTGCACACAGAAAAGTACAAAGATAGTGTAACTGATATAGACATAGACATAAACATGGAAGTAAATCTGAAAACAACTGCTTTTTTCTTTTTCAGTTATTTGGTCATTAAAATAAGTACTGTCCAAAACCTAAAAATTGTCAAAAGAAACAGTAACAGTAGACGATTGTACAGGATGAAGTGGTATGCATGAAGTATTTTCTGTAAACTGAGGATGAGACTGCCCTGCACATACAGTGGATGAATCTAACTTTTCATTTTTTTTCTCATTCTCTTGATCTACTTGAAAACTATTTTCTACATGTTCATCATCATCATCTAGCAAGACAGATTCTTGATTACTTTCTGCAGTTTGTTCTGGATCCGGGCAACCATCCAGTAGGCCATCACCCCAGTCAATCGGGAAACGAGTTACACGTGGATCAGAAGATATTATATGCCTTTCAAGCTGTAAAATTTTATAAACAAATGAAAAGTTGCGACATATAATTCAAAGAAAGTATAAAATAATAAATGCGTAGAGCATAACATAATAAAAATTATACTTAAGAATAACACAACCGAAAAACTACAACAGTAATTACAATTAGCTTTATTTATGCAGCGAACTCTGCACTTTGTGACAAATAGTGCTTTAAGTTCTCTGACACACATTACGCACAACTCTGATAATGATTGTTCATAACTCGATCATATGACCGTCCCCGCTGATATTTGTAGCCTAACTTACAAGCCAATCATGCACTGATACCGTAAAATGTAATGGTCGTCAAATAAGTACACACTTCACACACACACATTTAGTTGGATTGTTTCACAACTATATAGTGAGGAACAGATCTAGTACATGTTTGAACACCATGCAAGACTGTAGAAGTCAAGAGCAGTTTATGACTGCGTATTGTCTATTTTAAAGGATTGATGCAACCTTTGTTTCCAAACGAATCTTCAATTTAAACTATGTGACAGTTTACATTTTCAAAGGGGAGAAAGTAACTCAAGCATTCCTAAATAGATTCTCAAACCGCTCCGAAGACTGTACGTCTTCAGTAGCCTGACCAGTAGTGTAATTTGCTACACTATGATGGGACTTTCAAGTAGAACTCACATTGCTGGCTGGGCGGGATTACGATAGCAGCAAGGCGTTTCTTTTGGACGACTACCAATGCAAGCTGGTGGTACCTTCTCCAAAGAAACAGGGGTTAGAAAAGGTCGGCCCCCAAAGTAGTACAACCTTGTCTCCACACTGCTATCAGTCATCCTTGAGAGGGTTGGTGGAAGACTTCTGCTCCTCCTACAGCACGTGTTTCGATAACGACCACGAGTAGGGCCAAGCACCTGACTGCTTGCTTCAAAATGGACGTAGGAAAACATAAGCAACAAGACAAATATAACTGAGGCTCGGCAAAAAAACCACGATGGTCCATTTCAGTGAGAAACTAGCGCTACAGTAAACGGGAACGAACAATATTATCCATCCAGAAGCTCCGTACTCCCTTCAAAATCAGACACTGACACACCTCATGGTCGACAGAGTGAAATGTTGCCTTAAGGTCAAAAAATATGGCAAGTGTCGGCTGTTGGCCAGTAAAGCATACCTGTATTCCAGGACAGGACGAAGGGTGAAAATATGACTGATAGACCATCGTTTATGTCTGTCTGAAACTTGATTGCTTCTCTATAGTTCGCTGTTCGACAGAGCTCCAGCTCAGCAAACGGTACTTATGGACCCAAAGGATATGGGATACAACATTAGCCAAACAAATTACACCTGTGGTTCTCACAAAAAATTTCTCTCAATTCTTATAGACTGACAGGATGAGTTAAGTACACCAGTGTGACAGAACACCTCCAATTTCCAGACTCCCAACTACATCCGTTACTTCCACTAGCGATTTCCTGCGTCCATCCCTGAAAACGTCAGACCTCGCGGCCTACAATGCTTTGGGTTCAATACAGCTTTCTCAACTTCAAGGAGAGTCGGAAGACTGACATCTATGTTCCATTCACGTTCAGGCTGGATGTTGGGCAATGGAAGCGTTGCTGAGGGCCGGTTGAGCTGTCATTTAAAGTGTTCGGTCTAAGGTTTTAGCCACATGTCCTAGGAAGTTACCAGCATTCCATCCTTTTCGATGATGGCTTAACTAACCATCGTCTTCTTTTTGCCGGCATCTTCAATAAGCCTCAATAATTGCAGAATGTTATCCAAAGCTGATTTCTTCTTCATCTCTCTTGCTCTCATCACGGACTACTGTTAGTTGTCATTGCAAAGACTTGGTCAATTTACATATAGTCTCCAAACTGTCAACTGGAGAATCAATAATCTACTCCGATATTGTCACCCAGACAACAACCACGAGCACAATGAGTTATGGAGTGGCTATCATGATGTCCCCAATGGCATCGAAGGCTCTCATGCAGTGGGAACCATTCTCCTCCAGGATCATGATAGCAAGATTCAACTCAAAAGGAAGGAAGGTCACATCATACAATGCTATGCACCTACAAATAATGCAGAGCAAGAGAAGAAGGAGGATTTCTACAGACAACTTCAATCAACACTGGACAAGACCCCACTTCAGTTGGCGATATCAAAATTCTAATGGGTGACATGAATGCTAAACTAGGAGCGGACAACACAGGAAGAGAGCTCATCATGCATCGAGAAGCACTTGGTGAAATGAAGAACGAGAACGGAGAACTGTTTGCAGACTTCTGCATATCCAACGATTTGGTGATTGAAGGTAGAGTGTACAAGCACAAGGATATTCACAAAGCGACATTGACTGCACCAGACACCAGGATACAATAAAAATCAGATTGACTTCATTTCAATGTGAAGAAAGTGGAGACGCAGCCTACTGGACACAAGATCAAGAAGAGGAGCTGATGTAGGTTCAGACCATTATCTAGTGCAAGGAACCTTCCAAATCAAGTTAAAAGCCTTCAAGGAAGATGTTGATAGACCACAGTTCAAGTTCAACACCCAGAACAGAAAGTGGAGGATGAAACTACAAAGGAAATCCTCACGTCAGCCATCAGAACAAAATGGGAGGCATTGAGCAACGTCCCTGAAGAAACCTGTGTGGAAGAACACTCGGAGTCTTCGAAAAGAATGTGGAAAGAAACCTGCATAACCGTATCAGGAAGGAAGAGGAAAGAAGTAAAGGAATGGATCTCGACGGATACATGGAAGCTGATAGAGCAGGGAGAGGAGGATGTTGAAGCAGAAGATGAACCAGTGCAGTGTGGGATCCACAACGAAAAGACGAACTGAGTACAACGTACGAAACACTGGCCAAAGAAGTGAAGAAGAGTGCGCGCAAAGACAAAAGACACTTCTACGACACATCGGGAAGTGAAGCAGAACAGGCTGCTGGTAGGAGAGACCTGACAACATTATATCAAATAACCAGGTTACTATCCGGGAAGAGATCAACGCAGACGAAACCAATGAAAGATAGTGAAGGAAAGCTAGTTACCAAAGAGGAGAAAAAAGGAAACAATGGGCTGACCACTTCAGAAAGCTCTTGAATCGACCACCCTCACCACCTGCACTTCGTCCAGAGATACCACCTGCAGCCGCTGAACTACAAGTGAACATTAATCCTCCAACGAAAATGGAAGTCCTGAACGCCATAAAGCTACTGAAATGTGGGAAAGCAGCAGGACCAGATGGGATCCCACCAGAAGCACTGAGAGCAGACGCAGAGACAACAGCATACATGCTCACACCACTATTGCAGAAGGTGTGGAAGGAAGAGAGGGTACCTGCTGGTTGATTGGAAGAAGGGTTACCTTGTCAAACTGCCGAAGAAAGGAGACCTCAGTGTTTGCAAGAACTGGCGAGGAATCACTCTCCTGTCCACCCACAGCAAGCAAAATATTAAGCTGCATCATCCTGGAGAGGCTTAAAGATGCACTGGATTCAAAACTAACACCCGAACAGGCTGGCAGGCTTCAGGAAGTACAAATCATGTGCAGACCAAATTACAACCCTTCGCATCATCATAGAACAGGGCATAGAATGGCAATCAGCTCTCTGCCTCAACTTCATCGATTTTGAGAAGGCCTTTGACAGCGTCGACCGAGAAGTAATTTGGAAACTGCTTCATTACTACGGAATACCGCAAACCTTTATCCGCCTCATTCAACAACTATGTGAAGACGCCACATGCCAAGAAATGCACAATGGGAAGCTCAGTGATGCTTATGAAGCGAAGACAGGAGTGAAACAAGATTGCCTACTCTCCCCCATGATATTCCTGATTGTGGTCGATTGGACTGGATCATGCAGCAAACAGTGGGGAACGAGAAGAGGGGGATACGCCAGCTGGACTGCGGAAAAGAACCCAGAAGATCTGGATTTCGCCAACGATGACTTGTGCCTGATGTCACACAAACTTGAAGATCTACAGGCGAAAACTAACAAGTTGACAGAAGAGGCAGGGCAGCGAAGACAGGACTTCAGGTGAATGTAGAGAAGACAGAATTGATGAAGATACCGCACCAACAACTCCAACAACAACAACAAACTCCAGTCACCATCAACGGGAGAAACTTGGAGGAAGTAGCCTCCTTCACCTACCTACCTAGGCAGCACTGCTTCAACTACAGGCGGCACAGATGAGGATGTCAAAGCCAGCCAGGATCGGAAAAGCAAGACATGCATCCATTAGCTTGAAACCAGTGTAGAGATCTACTGTACTGCACTCAGCATACGGAACAAGATACGGATTTTCAACACTAGCGTCAAGCCAGTGCTTCTGTATGGTTCAGAGACTTGGCGCGTTACGAAAGGGATTCCCAACAAACTGCAGACATTCATCAACAACTGCTTACGCTCGCTACAGAAGATCAGATGGCCAGAAAGAATAAGGAACAAGGACCTCTGGGAACGAACCAACCAAGAATCTATCACGCAACAAATATGCAGGAGGAAGTGGAGATGGATTGGCCATGCACTGAGAAGGCCGACTGAGGACATCACGCGTCAGGCCAGGCCCTCGAGTGGAATCCCCATGGGAAGCGACGAGTTGGACGTCCGAGGGTGACATGGAGGAGGTCGTGAGAGGAAGAAATGAGAGCTCCTGGGCTGTCGTGGAACCAGGTTCAAAAGATCTTAGAGAACAGAGGTCACTGGAGACGTACCACTGAAGCCCTACGTTCCACTAGGAACCCAAGGGACTAATAATAATAATAATAGTGCGTGATCAGATTCCACGTGAGTATTCCAGGATGAGCAGCTGCTAAACACCGACCCGCTCCAACGATGGTCGATAGCAGGACGATCTGTTTTTGTTCATCTTCGGTTTGATTTCAGCAAACTCAAAATCCACTCCATTTTAAGGTAAAGGTTAGTGCAAATATTCAAGTTCCAGAAGATATCAAGGAGTGAATACATCTACGCCACTGCGACTGATTTTCAGCCATGTCACCAAGAGTCCTTAACCACTGATTCCTTTCCTCTCGGAGACCCCAACCAAACGGTCTACGTCTCTTCACACGACTGTGAAAAACAGTAAGAGACTTCATCAACTGGAGTCACGTCTTGGTCTGGACACTTCTAATCTAATTCAACTTCCCCTAGTATGGCACTTCGAGATAGGCGGAATGTGCAGTACTTTTGTGCAGAAGGCAATAAGCTGCACTTATTTTGTGAGGCCTTATGATACTACCTGGCTTCCGAGACCTCCGTAGGTGGGTCAGGGTCTGAACGCGTGACCCACCGGTGGAGTCAACTGCTTAAACCAAAGAGCCATAACTTTACTTCGGCGTATGCTAAGTCAGATAGTATTTCTCTTTGACTGTCGTTAGAGCTGACCAGAAACAAGTGATTGTTAGAATAAAATTGTAAGAGACGATCAACGTCGTTGGTTCGTTGGCATGGAACACCGCAGGAACCTCCAAGAAACTCTTTCGACTGGCTCCGCTTTCCTACTTGAACGTTGAAATTGGTTGTTAATATAACTATATCTGGACGTCTTGCTTTGTGGAAATACGGAAAGCTTTAAATAAAATTCATCTTTTATACCCCAACTTTAGTCAGTAGGGGCTTAGACGAAGATTATGAATAAGCATCAGGGAGTGCCAACATACTTTTTTCTCATAGATTTATTCAGTCGGCCTGCATACATAAGGTTGTTGATTGGTTTCGAGTCGGTAAGTGCGCTTTCTACTATACAACTTAGTGATATGTCAGCACTTGCATCTCAAAAGAGTCAATCAGTGAATCTCAGGGTACCCTTAAATTGAGTCTAGCAATTTTTTGTATAAAAGTATCAATGACCATATGCATTTTCGTGCACAAAACAATGTGAGTCATTGTACGAAAGTTTACAATAGCAGCCGTGTACTCAAAAACCGAAAAAGATAGTAAGCATGAACTCTTGACCAATTGTTTGAAAGCTTAATGACTAAATCAATGAGCCATACATAGTAATGAGAAAGTCCAGAGCGATTTGGAAAGTTTGTTAGAACACCTCAAAAAACAGAAACATACATTTTCCATACTAAAACAATTTTCTGATGAGTCAATAGTAGCTAGATCATACCTTTTTGTGAAAGCCTTTTGCATCTGTTGAGTGTCATTGTTCTGTGTGCATGCATGTCAAAAGTCATAACTTGTTTGTTCCACCGTATCTTAACGACGCCATGTTATTAGTTATTATGCATCCAAGTTGAACGAAGTCTGCCTAAATAGAAACATACTTTTTTGTTCTAAAAGTACAAGTGAAATGGTTCAGCAACACTGTTTCTTTTAGAATGGTCTCGATACATACATTTGATTATTTTTTGGCGAAGTCTTATTATCTTAAGGATTTGTGCAAAAAGCTATTTGTTCTTCATATAATTCATAAAAACAAATTAGAATGATAAATAAACTAGGAATCTTACTTCACTGAGTAAGGGTTCTTCTGGAGGTTCCAGGCGCATCTCTTCATTTTTGTACTCATTGTTAACATAATAGCCAACACGTATAAACTCTTTATCTTTATACAAAGCTTGTATAAGTACGACCGTGACTCCAACTACATCTTCATTTGGAATTATTTTTGGATCGGGAGCACTAGTTTCGAACAAAAACTGATGTCGCCCGACTGGAATTGGACCAACCAAAATGGAATCTAATATCTGATCCAAGGATGGGTTGTATGCACTACTAACATACACCAACTTCCATTCTAAATCTACAGGTATGTCCATAAGAAAACAGTAATAAGATAGGATATAGTACTTCAGAGTTTCTAATACGCGTCAAATTATGATCATTTTATGACAACTAAGGGATGCCTGTTATTTATACGTTCGCTTAATGGTTACCAGCCAGTCACGTAAAAGCCCTGTCACTGAGCGATTGCATATTCATATTCACGTTTAAATTACAAGATTTTCTCAACGATGACCAAAAATTTCTATCCGAACAGTTAAGCTGCGCACTTTCTAATTCGCTGTCACTGAAATGGAATGACATATGAGTCTGTGGGTCCATACAACAAATGCCCTTCTATGTATTACCAAATGTTATAGGCCCATTTAGAAAGTCACATTAGATTTGTACAAGCTTACACTAAAGGTGGTTGAGAAAACTCACTACAAGCAACCAACTGATAGTCGCTTCACATACAGAAGCAATACTGGTAAAACACCTAAATTCTGCAACCGTTTACAGCAGGCACTGGGGTACGAAAGTCAGTATCGACAAAACATCTGACACTAATGGGTCTCAGTCAGTACACACATCTCATAGTAGATCAAGAAACAATGTGATAAAATCAAAAATGTCTAGAGCAAAATATTTTCCCATCATTACTGTGTTTCACTTAGCAGTTCAAACTGCGACAAAGACGTGTTTCACCTTCATTCTGAGTAATCTAGTAGCATTGCACACCAGCGGCTGTAACTGAATTCAAGTGAAGTGTGCTTTCCGCCCCGAGAATTAAATCTATTCTTACGCCAGTAAGAGGAACAGAACTAACCGAGCAGCCCTACATATCCCACGCGCGGACCCTCCGGGACCACTAAATCGGGCACCCAAATCTGGCAAGAAACCACACTTGTCTTTTGCATGTGGTTAGAAACATAGTATACCTCTGGAGTATAACAGATGCAAGGATGAATTCTGTGATCTACTGGTTGGCAAGTGGCCCACAAGTCACATGTTCCAACGAAGCAGTAGAATATCAGAGATCTACACCAAAGACAGCGTCACAAAATTTCAGATAAAACCTAATTTTTACTTCTCACTCTAATATCAGAATCTTTACACTTATTGGTATGAGAGAATTAGGTTGCAAAAAACGATTTTTCCATTCTATCTAATTAGCGTAAAGAATCTTTATTCTGCAGGATAAGAACATTTCTTACCATCATCTAAAGGTTCGTGACATTCGAATGTTATCCGAAACTTGAATGGGTCGAAGAATGACGCTGGATTGTCCAAAACCTCTACATTGCAGATGTTGACCTTCGCCATCGTGTAGACCCCAAAATTGGCGCGGGCAATCAGGTAAGGCCTATAGATGTCAGTTCCAAGGAGAATGGGCCAACTGGCTTCTGTTTTTCTTCGCAGCATAAATATCTGCGAAGGCTCCGTCTCTTCATGAAAGTGAACATCAACATCAGGGGGGTGAACTTTGGAAACGAATATCTTTCTGATATCTTCAACATCGAATATCCGTTACCCAATACCCGATATTTTTTTACAGGCTGCTGACTTCCTCACGCTTCCTTCTTGGTCTTTCCGAACGGTTCCAGGCTCTTGCTGGATTCTGACGCAGTAGTTCTACTCACTCGCCACCATCATCTCTGGTTAGCCCAACGGGCTGTTGAGTGTTTCTTAAATTTGTAGGGCTTGTAGGATTTTTCGAAAGAGTGTGGCGCAGATCAGTCCCCCAAACGTCATGCTACAAGAGAGTTGCTCGGACTTACCATAAAAAGAAGAAAGATCAGAGTAAAAGATGTCTGGTGAAATCAGGAAAAAGGAAGTGTAAGAAAATAAGGGGTAGTGAAGCGGAATGGGTGAGGTGAAACCTATGTAGATTCAGGGGAGATAATTGTAAAGTAGAGAACCCTGATAGGTATGGCAAGATCTTTAACTCAGAATAGAAAGAAAGAGCAAGAAAGACTGTAGGATGGATTATAGGAATAGAAACTGCAATGTTGACAGCGGGAGTGTAGTAACTGGTGGAGACGTTTAATCGGAAAGTGTGAGGTCGGATCAAGTTCGCTATGATACTGGCGTTGAAAAAGATTCGGTATGGGGTTGGCTGTACTGTATTGTGCGGAATCAGTTGATTGTGGCAACCTGGTCTATCCAACCTCTTTCGAAGCTGTCGACAGTTGGAGCAGTAGCAATGTCGGCAGGCAATACTTTCCAGTGATTGCGCACTCGCAAAGAGAAAAGGTGTGAATCCACACTGGGTTTCGTTCTTCGGTGAGCGGCTCTCCCCGGGTTACCGCAAGGATTGCCACATTGCCCATTCGGCGAAATTCCACTATTCGGTTGGCTTGGGTGACCTGGCATTTCCTAGACCGTAGTCAAGCCCCAGGTAACCTACGGTGACTAGGACAGTAAAGCCTCAGGTCTTCCAGTCTGTATTCATGAGTTTTTTGTTGCACCTTATGAAAACCCTCGCCGCTTGCTTCCGGACATTTTGCTGCAGGTTTACATTTGTTTTCGGGTATGGTGGCGGGGTGGCATTATGGCCCCCCGAGTGGGGTGTTATATAGGTCTTGTAGGGCTCAAGGAAGAGTTCCGGGGAATGGGTGCCTAGCTGTCTGCGCATGGAGTGCAGAACCGCATAGGCTGTGAGGGTACCTCCTGTGGAATTCGAGCAGATTTCTAACTTGTGAGTCAAACTAGTCCCAGGTCTTCCTCCTCTGGGGTGTGCGAAAGATGAGCACCGCAGTAACAGGAAGATACTTTGAGCGAGGCGTTGATAAGGAGAACAATGTTCCAGCAGTTATCCAGGCTGGGTACCACTCCATTGTTATCCACTCATTCTGCAAGCAATCCGAGATCCGTTTGTAGTGCACTTCACTATGTTTCGGATGTAATAGCTCCCCATAACTCAACATCATCAGCCTAAAGTGGAACTGGGGAGCTGGGACTCAGTGGCAGGTCGTTCATGAAGAGGCATAAAGGCAGCGGACCCAGAGTTGCTCCTTGTGACACACCATGTGATGGTGCCCCCCAAGGCTAGCAAACCCTGTTGACTGGCGCGCAGAGTTCCCTGCCGTCTAAACAGCAGTGCAGCTGAGAAAGCACCTGATAGTCGATACCCAACCGTGATTTTCGTGAAGAGAGGCGTGTGAGAATATGTTGAGGCCTTTGGCAAAATTCAGGAAAATCATGCAAACGGGGACTTGGAGGTTACGGCATGCCGCTCAGTTATTACTGGCCGCAGGAGGGTTTGAGGCTTAGGACCTACCCTCTTCGAGAAACATGTTGGGCATCAATTGGTGCCCCATTTTTGTCCAAACACTCTCTGACATGGTTATCCATCAGGCTCCTCACTACCTCTAACATCACTGATAGAAGTTCTTCAGATCAACAGTATTCCGGGTTCTGCTTGTCTCCTCTTTGAAGGTTGGAGAAAATATCACGTTCTCACCCCAGTGGAAGCATATATTTGTCCGAGGGGTGTTGAAACACATTACAGAGCAGACTGCGTGAGGCACCAAAAGTTGTTTCAGCACGTTTCTGAGCGTCATCTCATCTCAGTGATTTTTCTGCCCGTAAGGGGCTGATGGTTTTTGAACTCTTTTGTTCAGTTTTTAAGGTTTGCTTCTTGCTGTTCGGTTGGCTCCTGTAGTGCGTAATCATTTCTGCTCTCCCGCTTTTGCTTTTGGTGAGAAGAATGTTCTTGTGGGTTGCTAGCTGTAATTTGTAGATTTGGATGGTTAGGGAACTACTGGTTACTGGGAATATCAAGGGTCTTTCGTGTCTATTGTATGGAAGGGTGCCTGAATAGGGTTAGAAGACGGAGGGAAAAGGTATGTGAGAATTACCAAAGAGCCGAAAGTTGATGTTACAACTCTAGTTACTGGAGAAGGCATGGTGGAACTCCAGGTGAATACGAAGGAGATACATGGTGAGTAGTAAACAGGAAGGAAGTGGCGGCGAGCTAGTGAGGTCAGTGATGCCCTCAGTATGTCTGCGGTGAGCCATACGAAGTGACGTGACTGTCCGACAGTCTTTTAAGAGAGTGCAATGGGGGCTGTGACAACACCGCAACGGTAGAGTATATCATGAAATGCTCACTCATAGGGAAAAGGTTTGGCCTGAGCTTGCTGTTACCTCCCTGCTGTGCTACTCTGATGGGGATCCCTCGTGATGACCGCTAAGTTGCAGACAAGATCAGTGTGTCTGAGTGACATGCCTGATTGCATGATCTTGTAGACCACAATTAGGTCAACCCTTTTTCTGTGGTAGCCCAAAACAAATAAGTCTAGCCGTTTCTGTATGTCAGAGTATGCCTTCTCTCTTGGCCTCACAACTGACTCTGTCGCAGATCTTTATATCTTCTCAAGGAGATTTTGATCACCCTCAAATGTTGGGGTCGCTACCGCGCTGAAGACTTCCAGAGGCGGCCGTACGTGGGAACTGAAAACTGAGAAGGCGCAAAGCGGCGTTCACTCCGATAGCCATACACTTTGGCTAAAGCTGGTGTCCACGATGTCATATAAGTCGGGCCCCGAATCTTTTCCCGTGCACACTTTGTTGGGAGGGCTGTTACTCAACCCATGTTGGAAGTTCGCCACTCCTGCTTAGCGGGTGTTGATGTGCATTGCTTCGGACTTTACCATGTTGAAGCTCAATCTGTTTTCCGACCACCAGAGTTCCAGTGGCTGCCGGTCATTTTGGAGTGTGGTATAGTCGGCCTCTTCGTTTATTACCCCCAACGTCTCTATCATCAGCGAACGGGATGACGGGTGAAGGGATTTTGTGTCGCAGATCGTTGACGAGCAGGCAAACAGAATTGGTCCCAGAATTCCGTCTCGGGTTCTCTTCCGTCGGGTGGCTTGATCTTGTGGAGTTAGACTGAGCGCCGGATACTGTCAAATCCCTGAGACGGTTTGAGAAGAACAGCGTGAACCAGATTTCCGTTGTCCCGGCTGAAATTCCGGTTGTCCCAAGCAGTTAGCAGGGAAGCGATACCTGAACGACTAAACCCCGTGCCAAACCAAGCAATACGGATGGTGCTTCCCCTGTTAAGGAACTCCCAGATAGCGTCAGCTATAGGGCCTTCAACTTTTTGAACAGTACTGAAAGTAGGACAGTCGGTTTGTAACTGCGAGGACTTCTCCCTCTTCCCCCTTGAAGACTGACGACAAGATAGCGCGATTTGATTCCTTATTCGGCCTGCTTGACTCTAGCGAGTGCCTGAAGAGGTTGCAGATTGACTTTGCGAGTGCCTCGGTTCGGTTTTTACCATTATCGGCCTCGGGTAGTCATAACCAGTGGATTTGCATAGACGGAGGCCAGGTGGTTTCTCAGACAACCTTTCCTCTGTGAAGGTGGTGAGAGAGAGGTATTCGTTATTTATGGTCTAATCGGTGTCATATCGTACCGGCTCAGGTCTGTTGTCAGAAGTACTAAGTTGTGCCTTGAAGTGTAAGCCAAGGAGCTCAGGTATCACTACGCTGCTTAATACATTTCCGTCGTGACCCGTGATAAGAATAGCTGCTTTGATTTTCTACGTCGTTCTGGGGATGAAGCGGCATAGGTTTCTGAGATTGCTTTACAACCTCCTTACCTGAGAGGTTTGACAGCCAAACCTGTCGCTGCTCACTCATATATTGCTGCCATTGCGAGGTCGTTTGTAGTGCAAAAGTCGGAATCCCTTCGTGATGAAAGCAACTGAACGGGGACTGGCTTTCGATCTGAATCAACTCCTGTCCCACACTTTAGCTATGAGGTTCTCACTGACGTCGTGAACGATGGCCTCAAGGATTATTTCCTCTGCCTGTTTCCGGTGTTTATGCGTTGTGAGACGAGTCTGGTCTTCCAATTATGGTGCATTCATGAGATAATTTCTCATGCTTTCATAGTTGGCCTTGCTGCAGCGGTGGGAGGTGTTGGGTATCTCCGGTTACAGAACATCCTTGGCTATCATGGAGAAGGTTATTACTGCATGACCACTAAGGCCGAGTGGCGCTTTAATACGTATGTTCTGAATCAGACGATTATTGCTCGTCAGGACTTAGTCCGGGAGCGGTGGATTTCCATTGAGCCCTTTGCGTGCGGCTTCACTCATTTCTCTGAAAGGCCGGTATTCTTAATTGCACCCTTTGGCTTCTGACTGAAAGATTTGGTGTGCCTGCCTTCCGCCCGTAAGTGGACGAGTGTAGTGTTGAAGTCTCCGGCTATGATTACTGAGTTGTGGTCCTCAGAGGAAGTTACCAAGATTGTCCAAATGGCCATTCATTTATGGGAAGGGAAGCCTTTCTGGGGCAGATAAATGGGCCTAG